TGAGTTGTGATTCAGGTATTGAGGATTTTTTTGGAGAAAGTCGATTAAATCTTGGGTTTGGAATGCTATTAAAATCACCCATTATTATTAGTTTGTAGTTAGGATTTTGAGAAAGTGTAATAATTTGTTCTTGTACATCTTTATGGAGTTGTTTTTTCTCTTGAGTTGGGATATAGATTTGTAAAAGTCGAATTGCTAGGTTTTTGAATTGGAGGTCTAAATCTATAATGTGGCTATTATAGTTATAAGTACATGCTATATGCTTTGCAATATTGTGATGAATGAAGATTCCAACACCGGCCTGGTGTGGTGATGAGTAGGAGCTCCAGTAACTGGTGTAGTTTGGTATTTGGTTGTTTAGAAATTTTTCTTCTTTGTTTGAGAGATGTGTTTTGGATAAGCCTAAGATGTCAAAGGTGTTGGTATTAAGCATTTCTATTATAGCAAGTTTTTTGTTGAGTTGAGAAAGTTCATTGATATTAAGTGAAGCTATATTAATAGAAAGAGAGATATATTCGGGTATTGGTTCAGAAGTTAAGAGTTAATTAGAGAGTGTGTTTAGAGAAGATTCACAAGTTTGAAGAGATGGTATTTGTATAGATGTAGTGTAATCAGATTTAAGTAAAGTGTTAGAGTATACTAAAAGATCTTTGAATGGAAGAAAAAAGTGATTTGGAAGAAGAGTGGTTTTATTTAGTAAGTATATATGAGCTTCATTATTGTTATTGTCATTTCCATTTTGTTTGATAGAGATTTTGATGAAGTGTTCTGAGTATAAGTATAAGTAGGTAGTTTGAATATATAAAAGAAATGATGCTAGTGTTTGTGGAGAAGAGAAAAGTTGTAGTTTATAGTAGTGATTTGAACTGAGAAAAATTTCCTTAATCGGTTAACTGAACTGAATTATTTTATTTAACTGGTTGTCAATCAGTTGATATTAACTATCTCTACTTGTTGTTTTATCTTTGGAGAATTGCTCAAATGTTTGTCTCAACTTGTTCATTTTTTATGTTCATTCATTTTCTTTTTGAAACTTTTCGGTGCCTTTGCTTCCTTCTTATTATTTTCATACTGCCAACCAATTACCTAATTCTCAACTGGATGTACTGGGTCAACCAATTAAGAATTTTCTCAACCGGTTAACCGAAATTTATTCGGTTCGGGTCGGTTAACCGATTATAGGCCAACTGATTCAAATCACTAGTTTATAGTAAAGAAAAAATTTGTTAAAGCATATTGAAGTGTCATATATTTCAAGTAGGTTAGAAGGAAGAGAAGTAGATAGTTTGCCTAAAATTGTACATATAGTTGGAGAAATATTGTTATTATCAGAATCTTCAGAGAGTAAGTTAGAATAAGTTGTTGATATTGAATGTGGAGTATTTAGAAACATGGATAGAAGTAAGAGTTGTGAAGTAGATAGTGTGAAGAAATTATTATGAGTTTGGATCTTAGAAGGATTGGAAGAGTTGGAATCTGAGATATTTAGTGTTCCTTCTATAGAGACAATCGTCATATACTCGGTTCTCACAGTTGTACAGGGTACCATAGCCTGTTCTGTATATTGGGTCTGGCTATTATTAACTTGGTCCTCCACGTAAATAGGCTTTTCTGCCTGCCTACTTACATTATTCTCTTCCAAAAATAGCCCACAAAAAGTGGAGGACATCATTATTTTGGAAGCGGCAGCTATATTAATATTATTTATAGAAAGAATTAATGAAAAAGTGAACTAAATGTAAAGTCATTTGGGTTTGAAAATAAGAAAAGTGTATCATCAAGCTGAGTAGGAATATTGATTCCATAGTGCTTAATAATGAATTTTTCTGCTTTTAGATAATATTTAGTTTCATAGTCTTGTTGAATTTGTGAGATTGAGAATTTGGGTTGTTGAATAATATTATAATAAAGAATTATTCGAGCAAGGATATGAGGGTCGGTAGTTGGGTGATAGTTTTTTCTAGAGCTTTGTCAAGTTTAAGATTAAAGATATCATTATTTTCTGCTGCAGTGTTGAGGTAGGTTTTAAGGTAGGAATATAGGTAGTAGGCTGTTCGTTTAGTAGTTGTGTCTGTTCCATTGATTTCTGCAAATTTTTGATCTGCTTTAAGGGCCAGATTATTTAATGTATAAAGTGGAATTGATTTTTGAAATGTTGCAGTATGTTGTTGATCAGGTAGGAATATAGAGAAGTCAGGATCGAAAGGAGTGATTTAGGAGTATTATCTTTAGGTGGTGCAGGAAAAGATTTAAATAAGTTATTAAAGAAAAGTGTAAATAAGTTTTTGAGATTATGTTCTGTGTCTTTAGAGAAAATTGTGCAGTTTTTATTAGTGCATGTATGAATGTGATGAAGTGCTTTTTTGGATGTTTGGAAAGAGCGATTTTTAAAAGATGAGGGTTCTGTAATTTGAAAGTCTGAAGGTAAAAGTTTTTTGCATTCTTCTGCTAAAGTAGTTGTGATTTGGTATTTGATATAGTTGCATACTTTATTTTCATTAATTTCTGTGAATTTCTTGTAGTATGCCTTAATGAAGTCTTCGAACCAAGAGTTGAGTGTATCAGTGTGTGGTTTTAAAGATGGGATTCTGAAGGTATTAAGGAATTTAGATTTGGGAATGTTAAGGGTAGTTGTAATAGTAAAACGGTTATTGTTGTAGATGCTAAATAAGGTTTTTTTTGGGTTATCATATTCAAAGTTATATTAGATTGAGAGACGAAGAGAATGGAGATCAAGTTTTTCTACAAATTTTTGATAGTGAATTGTTCTATATTTGTTGTGAAAGAAAAGATATAAGCAAGCAAAATTAATTGCTACTTTGGAGCAGTCAGCAATAGTATAAGGAGAAATTGAGTAATGAGATCTAAAGATATGAGGATAATTAAGTTTGGTAAAGAGAAGTTCAGTAAATTTAGTAAGTAAATTTTTAAGAGTAGAGATATAAGCATATTGAGGAATAATCAATTTTGGAGTTAAATCAGGGTTAGATTTTTGGAAAAATTGAGTGAGAAATTCTGGTCTTTCAGAAGCCATAGATTTAAGTAGATAGTTAAAGCTTTGTTTTTGGGGAGGTTTAGAGAATTGATCTTTGTTTGAGTTAGGAATTAGTTGACCAGGAGTAAATTTGTAGAGATGAGTTTTGGTAAAATTAAATAGTTGTTGTGAGAGCATAGTATTAAGTTTGGTGTTTTGTTCCATTTCTTGAGAAATTGGATAAGTTGCAAACTAATCTAAGTTCTGAGAAGTATCTCTGGGTTTAGATTGGTTGGTTTGTTAATTTGGATTTGGTTGTTGAGATTGTTTAATTGTTTTGCTTCTGGTAATAAGTTTTTGAAGAAGATTAATTTTCTTTTCTTTGGAGAGTTGAAAAAAGTGACAGAAATGAAAAATGGAGTGTTGTTCTTGTATTAAAGGTTTGGTAGAAGAAGTGGGTTTAAGTTTAATATATTGAAGATTGTGTTCACACTCTCGGTGAATTAAATAGCCTTTGAAAATTTTAGCTTTGGAGTAATCAGAAGCGTGTCTTGTTTCTTGGACAAAAACACAGTGAATACTTTTGATTTTGCAGATATAGCATATATGATAGTGTTGTGAATGTGAAACAATTTCAATCAGTTTTGGGTCTGTGTGAAGATTGGAGAGTAGAATTTGGGAAGATGATTGAAGACTTTGTTGTTGTTTGGAGATAAGTGATTGAGGTAGAGTTTTTTTAATTGTATCGAATTGCTTTTTAGAGATAATTGTAGTTGGAGAAGTTTTTATTGCTGTAAGACTAGTAGATTGATTAGTTGGTTTAGGATGTTTGATTTGATAGAATTTGGAAGTAAAATTTGTATAGTATTTGCCACAAAGACAAGTAGTTAGGGCTGGTTGAGTTGGCATTTTAAAATAATGATGTTGTTTGTTGGGTTTGCAAGTAAGAAAATTAACATCCTTAGGTAGAATACATAAGGTAGTTGGGTCTGTGTCTTTGGTACCGATACCAAAGCATTCTGGATATTTATTTAAAAATAGTCGAGATCATGGAAATCGGGTTCTTCTGTTGTTAAGGTAGGTATTTTGGTAGATTAATATCGCAAAAATATCGAAGAGAGAAAAGAGAGCTTCACAATATAGTAAAATTTATTTTGTGTAATATTGCACAATCTGTATAACTTTTGTAGCTAGTGTGGCTGTGGCTGGTGTGGCTAGTGTGGCTGGTGTAGCTTATAGTACAAAATATGGCTTATGTGACTAGAATAAATTTGATAATAAGCTTGTATGGTTTTGTATAATTTTAAAAAAATTACAGATTTGTAATTATTTATTTGTATTAAATTAATTAGAAATTAAAAAAGAAATTGTTACAAAGAATTATTAATTGAAGGAACCACTAATTTTAGTTGTTCCAAAATGTGTTTAGGTCCACAATTAGATAGGGGTAAGGGAGAAAAGGAAAAAAAGAAAAAAATTTTTTAAAAGATTTTTAAAAAGGAGTTTATAGAGAGTTTTTACTATAAGTTAGTCAAATTTGATCTGTTTCCGATGTTTTTTATGTCAAAATGGAGCTGGGGAGGAGCTGGAGGGCCCTGTCTTTAAAAAAGAGTAGGTTTCCTTAGCTAAATTTGAATTAGAGAGCAGTGTATCTATTTAGAACGAATATTATATATTTAATTAAGAATCAACCCGAAGGTCGTAAAAATTGAGAGCTATATATAATTTGGCCTTTAGAACAAGTTTAATTATTTAGAAAAGATAACTTTAGTTAATAAAATTAAGAGAAAAATGAATTTTTGTTTTAGTTAAATTTGGTACAAGTGATCGTCAGGAAGAGTTAGTGAATTGGTAGTTTTTTAATGTAGTAATAATTAAATGTTAATTCTTAAGATATGAAGTAATAAAATTTTTTTTTAATCTTATTGTGGTTGACGGAACTTACTTGGTTTTCAAAACTTTCCAACTTTCAACTAAAAGTAGATTTTTCCTATTTTCTCTGTCCTTCATTTTTGAAAAATTGAATCTAGCTAACTTTTAGATAATATTCTAGTCTTGTCAAAATGATTAGTCCTGATGATTGCAGAATAGTTATTCCGCCCAAGTGGCCATGAATTCCAAGATTTCTTTTAGAAGGAGAAAGAGATGCACTTGCGATGATTAAGATGGCGCCTGTTTTTGGTGCAGTCACTGTTGGCCTCGGGATCATCTGTATCGTCGACGAAATTTTTTTCAAAGAAAAGTCAAAATGAAATTTTTTGTTGTAAGTGATAAAAGCAATTTTCTTTCTAAACGCTTATCTTTATCTAAGGTGTCTTTTTCTATGATGCTAATAAATTTTAAATTTAGCGCAGTGTTAATGCAAATGAAAAATCTATGGAGTAAATGCTTATTATACCATAATTGGAAAGTTGTTAGCTTTTTAAAAATATGCACCAACATTTTTTCATGCAAGCCTTATTTTTGTTTATAAATGAGCGCTGTTGTTTCGACAATTCTTACAAATAAATCTTGGTCATGACCAAAAGATTTATCTTGCCAAAAGAAAACATGCACATTTATTATTAATCATTTTTCAATCATTTTGAACTCAGTTCATTTTATTAAATCTCTAGTTTTATATTTGACAATGTCTCAATTCATAATAATATAATTAACTAATTGATTAACGATTTTACAGGTATTATTTTATTTTCACAACAAATTTTATTTTTAATTTATAAGCCGCAAAAAAACTACTACGTTTTTTTTCTTATCTCAAAACTATTAATAGTTTGAATATTTTTATGTTGCAAAAATCTGTTAATTTTTAATAACAATTTTTTTAAAAAATTTTATTATAATTACATATTATATATTTTACCTATAATATTAAGAAGTTTGCCATTTATCACCACTGGTAATCATTATCAGTATTGTTATATCTCAAAAGCCTACTAAGTAATTAAGGTTAAGAATACTAAGTTAAAATGTTCACCGATGTGCGTACGTTATGCCAATTGTAATAAAAATAATTTTTTTTTAAACAAGGCTCATTTATCTTTCAAGAATAATTTTTAAATGATGAATTATTGATTAGAAATAAATAAAGTGCTACATTTCTTTTCTTTTTTTTTTTAAGCATTTAATTTTTATTTCATCGTTATATAATAAATATTGTTTATATAAAAATAAATAATTTTTAATTAATCGATAAAGCTTCTACTGTACCAATTCCAAAACGACATAACATTATTCAATGATTAACAAATGACACATGTCGATTCCAAATTGACAGGAATCAATAAATGACACATAACTTATATATAAAAAGAATAGAACATAAATAAAAAAAAATCATCAAAAGAGCAATCAAATCTCTTAAGTAATGCAAATACTATCACAAGTTTTTTAAACACATGCTTACTATTTTCTAACCAATAGTTCCCTCACAATATTGCATTCAAGGAGGCCAGTTAGTGTATAATTAATATGAATATTGTCTTTAAAAAATTATTCTTTAAGTTTGAGATTTCAAAAAATAATTTAATTAAAAATGAGCTTTTATCACTTTTTATAGTTGAAAACCAAATTTTGCATGCCTTTAGAAAATGTCAAATTTTCATTATTAGCAAATTAATTCTTCTGGCTTTAAAATTTCGAAACGGTGTGAGGGATCCAAATATTTTGATAAATTTAGAGTAATGGATCTACTATTAGAATCCAAATATTCAGGTAGCTTGTCTGGTAAACTTTTAATTATTTGGTCAGCATTACGAAACTCCCTTTTTATATCATCAATTTTTTCAGATTTCATAATTTCGCACAATTGATCAATTTTCAAACGGATATCATTAGCAGTGGGTCTTTTTTGGGGATCTAAATGCATGCATTGTTTAGCCAACTCAATATAGCATTTTGGAGTTCCATTAGCAAATTTTGGCCGCAATCCGAAAAAAATCTTTGTTGCAAGCTCAGAATTAGAATAACATTTGTAATCATCAAAAGCCCTTTGACCATTAGACATTTCTGCCATAATAATACCAAAACTATATACATCGGATCTTTGAGTGTATGGCTTTCCGATAAATACTACTGGGTCAGTATAAGGTATCATACCATAAATTGTATTTTTTGGTGCTTTGGATTCTGGTGCATTAGCAAACGTTGTTAGTCCTAAATCTCCAATTTTGATTAATTCTTGGTCTCCATTTTTGCAAATTAATATATTTTTGGAATGCAAATCACGATGTATTAATCCATGTTCATGAATCTGTGTCAAACTATGTAAAAATTAAATTGTTAACAGATGTTATCTGTTAAATTGGTAAATGAAATTAATAAAATAAATTATTTATTATATACCCTATTATAATTGATTGTAGTCTTGCGAGTCTCTTTTGCCACAAAATATCTTTATAACTTTCTGACTGGCTATCTGACAAGTTTCCACCTTCAGCATATTCCATCACTATATAAATTTTTTGCGATCTCGAATATTCCGTAAGGGTAAGGCCGTAATAATGTAAAATGTAATTGTCAAAACGTGTTATTTCAAATGAAATTAACTTTTATTTTTGTATTAAAAATATATATATAAGTTATATATTAAATATAAAACAAAAAATATTTCGAAAAATAAATGCACTTACCTCATTTACAATATCTATAGAATAACCTTTTGAAGATTTTAAATACTTGAGCGCTACCTTTCTTTCCACTCCTAACTTATTCACCCAAATGGCTTGATAAATTTTGCCAAACCCACCTTCATTCAAAATTCTAATATTTTGAAGTTCATTATAAGGTATGATTAATCTATTACCATTAAATTCACTGTGGCCGTTAATGATCTTTTTAACTATTGTAAATTCCAATACAGCATCGCCAAAATCAGGTTTGATATCCAGTGATCTTTTAAGATCTAAATATGCTTCATTATATTTACCCATTTTTTTATATACAACTCCCCGAGTATGTAATGTCTCGAAACAATTTGGATTTATTTCTAATAATACGTTAGCGTCTAAAAGCACTTTATCAAATTCGCCTAAAATTTTATAGCACCTTATACGTTGCCTCAATGCACCTACATGGTTTGGTTTTATTTCTAATGATTTATTTACATCTGAAAGTGCTTCAATATGTTTGTCAAGCATAAAATAACTTTCTGAACGTCTAAGCAACACGTAAATATTTTTTGGCGTCAACGCCAATAGTTTACTATAATCTGAAAGTGCTTCCTCATATCTATCCATTCTATCGTAAATGCCTGCGCGTTCCATTAGTGTAGCAGCGAGAAATTTTTTTGGTGCTAATACCAATAGTTTATCATAATCTGAAAGTGTCTCCTCAAATCTACCCATTATTCCGTATATACGTGCCCGATTAAATAATGTTGATATATTCCAAATATCATTTTTTGGTCTTAATTTCAGACATCTACTAAAATCTGAAAGTGCCTTGTCATATTCCTTTAACATTGTATAAGTTTCTCCACGATCACATAATGCGTAAGTATTATTTGGTTCTAATTTTAATGATTTGTCAAAATCAAAAAGTGCCTTTTCATATTCATTTGACATTTTATAAGCTTCTCCGCGGCGTATTAATGCTTCTACATTATTTGGATTTGCATTCAGTATTTTATCGAAATCCTTTATAGCATTATCATATTTATCTAATATTACATAAATTGCTCCACGTTCACATAATACTTCTAAATTGTCTGGTTTAATCTCTAAAGATTTATTGAAATCTGAAAGCGCTTCATCAAACTTTTTCAATAACTTATAAGTCCTTGCACGCATGATTAATATTTTTAGATCATCCGGCACGATTTCCAGGAATTTGTTGAAATCTGAGAGTGCTTCATCATATTTATGTAATTTAAAATATGCATTTCCACGATTAAGTAACGTAAAGGTATCATAATATTTCGATTTAAGAGACATATTGAGATCAAAGCTTGCTTCATCATATTTCGACAATTCTATATACGTTAATCCACGATAGACCAGTGCTTCGGCATTACCTGGCTCTATTTTCAGTGAATTATTTAGATTAGTAAGTGCCTCTTCGCGTTTACCTAATTTTATATAAACTACTCCGCTATACATTAATGCACAGGCATCGTTGGGTATTATTTCTAGTATTCTATTAAAATCAGAAAGTGCGCCATTACGGTTATCTAAAATAATATAGCATTTACCACGCAATTTTAATGCAGAAGTATTATTGGGATTTATTTCCAACAATCTGTTTAAATCAAATATTGATTCGTTATATTTGCCCATATATGCATAGGTTACGGCACGATTAGTTAATATATTGGTGTCATGCTTTATTTCCAAAAATTTATTAAAATCTGAAATTGCTTCGACGAATTTACCCATATTCAAATAGCTTGTCCCACGACTGGCTAACACATCGGTATTATTCGGCTCTATATCTAATAATTTATTAAAATCTGAAATTGCTTCAACATATTTGCCAATCTCAATATAGGCTGTCCCACGACTGGTTAGAACATCAGTATCATCTGGCTTTAATTCTAGTAATTTATTAAAGTCTGATAATGCCTCCCTATATTTTTTTAGTCGTTTGTAAATTTCTCCACGGCTCCTTAATGCCAGATCATTAGTCGATTCTATTTCCAGTACTCTATTAAAATCAGAAAGCGCCTCTTCATATTTACCTATTAAGTAATAAGTTTTCGCACGATCCATTAATGTAAGAACATTCCCTTCGCAATTTTTAGATAGTAGCTGAATGTTTTCGCAATTTTTAGATACTATTTGAATATTTTCACAATTTCGTCCAATTTCAAGGGATCTATTAATGTCATAACGTCCTTCATTAAATTTACCCATCTTCATATAAGTTGTTCCACGATTATTTAGTATTGCAGCATTGTCCGGATCAATTTCAAGTGATCTGTTGATGTCTAACAACGCCTTATCATATTTACCTAACATCCTATATGTCGTTCCGCGATTATTCAACCATTTGGCATTGTTTGGTTCAACTTCTAGAGATTTGTTAAAATCTGAAATTGCATCATCATATCTGCCCAAAATCGAATATGCTGCTGCACGGTTACTTAGCGTCCAGGAATCATGGGGTTTTGTTTCCAATAATATGTTAAAATCAGAAATCGCATTTTCACATTTATTTAGAAAAAGGTGCGTCATTCCACGCACTTTGAGCGTCAAGACATCGTTTGGACTGATTTCTAATGTTCTGTTTAAATCTAAAAGTGCTTCATTGTATTTCCCTAAATTATAATAAGTTTCCCCACGGTATTTAAGTACCGAAGCATTAAATTTATCCAAATAGGTATATTTTGTTCTGTGATTGTGAAGTGCAGTCGAGTTGATTTCAATAGATTTATTAAAATCAGAAAGTGCTTCATTATACTTTACCAGCGATAAATAAGTTATTCCGCGATTCATTAATGCCCATGCATTACCCGACTCAATTTCTAATGATTTATTAAAATCAGAAAGTGCTTCATTATACTTTGTCAGCGATAAATAAGCTATTCCGCGGTTCATTAATGCCCAAGCATTACCCGGCTCAATTTCTAATGATTTATTAAAATCTGAAAGTGCTTCGTAATATTTACCCAAGAACATATGAGTTTCTCCTCGAATTGCTAAAATCAAAACATTATTCGATTCGATTTCCAGCGATCTATTGAAATATGGAAGAGCCCTCTGATAATTGCTAGTATTTTTATAATATTCTCCAAGATTATTTAATGCGTCTACATAGGTTTTTCCACGATCTCGTCCATTATAATCTAAAAGCGCTCTCTCGTGTTCAATGCAAATGTCACCACATAATTTTAGTGCCGAAGCATTATTTGGCTTAAGCTTTAATAATTTATTAAAGTCCGAAATTGCTTCATTGTATTGGTTCAAAATTTTATAGGTTATACCCCTATTCCTTAATGCGAAAGCGTTATCTGGTTTGAGTTCTAAGGATTTATTGAGATCTGAGAGCGCTTCACTATATTTATTCAGCATTAAATATGTTACACCACGATTTCTTAATGAGAAGGCATTATTCGATTTAATTTTCAGCGCTTTATTGAAATCCGTAAGCGCCTCTTCATATCTTCTTACTAATCTATAAGTTTTTCCACGACTTCTCAACGCCCAAGCGTTATCCGGTTCTATTCCCAGTGACTTATTAAGATCTGAAAGCGCTTCATCATATTTACCTAATGCTCTGAGTGTTGATCCACGCCCTCGTAAAATAAGTGCATTATCAGGTCCTAGTTTAATTGCCTCATTAAGATCCGTAAGTGCTTCACAAAATTTACGAAGACAATAGTAAGTAATCCCACGTTCTGCTAAAGCTACTACATTATCTGGTTTTATTTCCAAGTATTTGTGAAAATCTAAAATTGCATCATTATATTTACCAAAAATTCTATAAGTTTCTCCATAAATCATTAACGAATTTTCATTGTCTGGTTCTATTTTTAGTGACTTCCTGAAGTCTGTAAGCGCTTCTTCATATTTACCTAAACACTTAAAAATTTCTCCACGAATCCTTAATATGTATGCATTGTCTGGTTTTGTTTCAAGCAATTTATTAAAATCTATAAGCGCTTCTTTATATTTACCCAATTTTTTTTATAAGTTTCTCCACGGACCCTTAGTATATATTCATTATCTGGTTTTAATTCAAGAAATTTATTAAAATCTATAAGTGCCTCTTCAAATTTATTCAATTTATTATGAGTTTCACCACGAATTCCTAATGCATATTCATTACATGGCTCTATTTCTAGTAACTTGTTGAAGTCTATAAGTGCTTCTTCATATTTATTCATTTCATAATAAGTTTGACCACGATATATTAATAAAATTTTATCCATACTCTCATCCTCTGACTTTCCAGAAAATAGTATTCTACAAGTACTGTCTGATTCCATTGTCAGTGATTTATTGAGATCTGTAAGCGCTTCTTCATGTCTATTTAATCTATTATAAATTTTCCCACGAACCACTAATGTATATGCATTGTTTGGTTCTATCTCCAGTGACTTATTAAGATCTAAAAGTGCTTCTTCATACTTATTTAAATTTAAATAAAGTATTCCACGATTAATAAGCGAAAGCAAATCATTAGGTTCCATTTCTAGTAATTTATTTAAATCCACAAGTGCTTCATCAAAACTTTTTATTTGTATAAGAGTTAGTGCACGTTCATATAGTGCCATAAAATCATTTGGGTCTAAATTTACATAACTACAACAAAGCCAATTATTAGGTTCACGCGAGGGGGGAGGATCTGAGGTAACAATTTTCATTCCTGGATTTATGAAACTATCATATACTTCAGACATTTCAGATGAATTTGATTCCATTTTTTTAATGTTTAAAATTATATTGACTTATGAAAACAAGCAATTTCTTGAATCTTTTTAATTTTTTATAAGTGACAAGAATTCTCGATAACTTTTTAAATCATTTTTTAAAAGGTTGAATATGATATTAATTTTGATGTGTCAGCTTTTTTTAAAAATTGTTCTCAGGTGACTGAATGTTTGTTATGCAAAATTTTTATGGCAATATTAAAGCCGTACAAAGATATGTCTCATCGGTCTTTTAGTGAGCCCTGGCATTATTGCCTTATTTAAGCATTATTACTATCCTTGTGTGTTTAGCTAAATGTACTGAAAATATTGAAGACTCAATTATAATAATTTTTTTTAAAGTTCATAAGATGGAAAATTTCCAGAGCTTTATGCTTGTAATTGAGGCTATCATAATAGTGATAAGCCTCAAAAATGAAAATAAAAAGAATTCAAAAATATTTAAATTCTGAAAAAGATGAATATGGGTGGTCAGTAGAAACCAAGCAAATTGT